CGTATTTTACGAATTTTATAAAATATCAAAAATACGTTTAATACGGCGTATTTTATTTTCGTTGAATAAAATACGTAAAAAGCGTTATTGTACCATTGATAGCTCCAATAAAGTAATAAGTACTATTGCTTTATATAAATTTACGATTTTATCAAAACTCGCGTAGCTCTGTCGTTTTTCACCTCGCATATGACTTCAGAGTACTGGGCACGTGCTATACCAAAGCATTAAAGCGTTGAAGTTAAATAGAAATGTGTCTGAAGAAAATTCAAACGAATGACATAACTTAAGTCTTTGAATGAAATTTCAAGAAAAACGTATTTTAACGTATTTTTGACGTATTTTATTTCTAAGCAAAAATACGCAAAATACGGCGTATTTAAAAAATTATCTCACGTACTTTTCAACTCTGATATTGACTAGCTTTTGCGTTAAATATACCGACAATTGGCTGCGGAACCGGATCATAAGGCCAAATGCAAAATGGCTGTGATTAAATGATAATCAGTCCTTGTTATGAATGTCTGACGATATCATCGACAGTATTCCAATTTACAAATATATAAATAATACCACAACTCCATCTACAAAAATTCCAACACAAAAACTCACAATTAAACACAAAACTATTTTCACATCTCAACTTTTGCACAGTATAATAAGCGTGGCTCTATTTTTTTTTCATTTGGTTTTTGCTGTAAAAACCGTTTTGACCTTTTAGTGCACTGGCAAGGAAAAATCAGGCAGAAAGCCGCGTGAGAACGCACTTGAATTACTCGATTAGTACCAGGAGGCAGCTGGAGGCAAAAGTTTAGATTTGGGTCATCGGTCGGTAATAGTATAGCTTTAAATTGTAATCACCGCGACTTTTTGGTTTACAAATGAATTAGAAAATGACATGAACCTATAAACTGAATGAACCTCGTCCGATTTCTCGTCTGATTAAATAAATCTTCAGATTAGAGCACTTAAGCTAGCTGCTCGGGCAGCTATTATCTTGTTTTAAACTAGACAACCTAACTCAAATGTCCAAATGACGACGCGAGAAGTAAGCCAGAAATTTGCACGTTTCATAGCTGTTTGAAGCAGGTCGCCTGTCAGAAAATGAACTGATTATCGTTCGTTTTGACAAGGTGAATTAGATAATTACACTGAAGTACGCACAAGAAATGAAGTATGGGTGAAATGAGCCAATTATTGCAGCACACGTTCTGAATTCACACGAACGTTTCCAGAAGGAAGATCAGATCGCACCGGCGGCGTCTCGATGACAGACGAATACTGGAATATGTCAATATTCAGAACTGCGAAAGCAGTACAATATACGGCGTACAGCCTCAATTGGTCTAAGTAAGCCCTGTCAACAACATAATTAAAAAACGGCATGGATTGTTGAAAAATAATAATCGGCTGCAGGAACGGAATTGAGATATCGTCGACATTATGTCGGCGTTTAGAATTCAGATAGGGGAATTATTAACAATACCAAGATGCGTATCCTTTAATTAAGAGTGAGATTAATTTGAATTTAGGAAAATCTGTGTACAGTGTCCATATAAACCTACAGAAACAATACTTGGGTCTTGGTTTGAGTATAGGTACGAATTAAAGTTAGGTTAACGATAACAATCATGACTAGATATTTAGATGTTCCTGTCTTTTAAAAAGCAGTTCTTTGTGACATTATAATTGCTCAATTAGACCTGATTAACTGGTAAAATGGCCCCCTGGGAGGTAAGATTGGACAATAATGCAAAACGTATCATTTTGGATATCGGCTCGTACTAATCCAGTAAATGACTTTGGACGGAAAGATCTGCATCAACAAACCGATGATACCATCTGAAATCGCTCAATTATAGACAGAACAATAGTTTGTAGTTAATATATTTGAATCGAAAATATTCGGCGTATTTAATTTCAATGAGTTAACTATTACATAAAGATATAAGTAAAGTGAGTAAACTAGTATAATTAACTAGTAATAGTCGAATTAAGGAAGGCGAATTAAGAAAGATTAATATAATTGTCTGTTTCCTACTAGAAGTCGATACGATCTTTACGGTCGCAGGAGTATGTATCACCGACAAACAAACAAACTTATACTTAGGTTGAAAAGTATATTTTAATTGGTTGTGATTCATACTGGTGAGCACCAGAAACATCCATATTTTATTTAACCTTTCAGGAGCAAACATTTTATGGTTTTCCAAGAAACAAAAATCAAGCTACGTTCGTGTTGGTGATAATCACATACAGAAATCTAAATTAATTGTGCCGGTAAACCTGGTCGAAACATTAGCCGGGTAAAATCCACTGTTGAAAGCCAAAAATAATACGAAATTGATGAGAACGATGAGTAATAATCATACATCAATTAAGAGAGGAAGATTTCTATAATCTCGTCTGCAGATCATGTCAAGCCTTAACTTTGTGGTCGAAAATTCCAAGTTTAGCTAATTTCAACTAATCCGAATTATGGTATAATTAAAACTCAACAAAATATAATCTGCAATTTTCCGCGAAATGTTTGTCCAGGTCGACAAAACATCTAGCTTAAAGCAGTGGCAGACTTTCAGGAACCAATCTGATCCGGCCTACAGAGAGATCAGATCATGTCACCCATTCAGTGACGCTTAATTGGTGATATGATCCATGGATCGAATTTTATTGACTTTGAAATGGGATAGACTCTTCGATAAAGATGTGACGAAGTTAAATTTTAATAATCTTTTAAATTTAAATTTAAATTTTGTAAAAGAACATTCTTGCACATTATTTATTTATAATGATATTTAGACATACCTGTCTTTTGAAAACTAGTTCTTTCTGATATTATAATTGATCAATTAGACCTGATTAACTGGTAAAATGGCCCCCTGGGAGGTAAAATTGGACAATAATGCAAAACGTATCATTATTAATATCGGCTCAACTAATCAAGTAAATGACTTTGGACGACATGAATCGTTAATAGTTTAGTAAACCGATGATACCATCTGAAATAACTTAATAATAGACAGAACAGTAGATTGTAGATTGTAGTTAATATATTTGTATTGAAAATATTCGGCGTATTTAATTTCAATGAGTTAACTAGTACAGTCAATAGGCGAATTAAGGAAGATTAACATAATTGTCTGTTTCCTACTTATAAGAGTCGATACGATCTTTACGGTCGCAGGAGTATGTATCACCGACAAATAAAAAACTAATACTTAGGTTGAACCTAAATTCTAATTCAAATTGGTTGTGATTCATACTGTTCATCACCAAAAACATCAATTTTCTTATTAAACTTTCAGAAGCAAACATTTTATGGTTTTTTAAGAAACAAAAACAAGCTACGTTCGTGTTGGTGATAATCACATACAGGAATCTAAATAAATGGGTCAGTAAAGCTAAAACTGGCTGAAACATTAGCCGGGTAAAATCCACTGTTGACAGCCAAAAATAATACGAAATTGATGAGAACGATGAGTAATAAATATAATCATACATCAAAGAGAGGAAGATTTATATAATCTCGTCTGCAGATCATGTCAAGCCTTAACTTTGTGGCCGAAAATTCCAAGTTTGGCTAATTTCAACTAATCCGAATTATGGTATAATTAAAACGAATCAAATTATAATCTGCAATTTTCCGCGGAATGTTTGTGCAGCCAACTATACGTATAAAGGCCGAAAAATATTTGGCTTGAAGGTGTCACATAAATGTCGTACAAAAATCACAGTCATAGATACAACGGTTTAAAAACTGAAAAGAATACAAACTATAAAATTCCAAATTTGCACGCGAGATTCAAAAGACACGTCATAATCATTGATCAATCACGGATAAAGTTTAACTTTAGCCCAATTTCTGCAAGGCAAATGTCATGGTTGAAACATCACGTATGATGATTAAGGACAATCTAATATGATTTGATTACAGTTGCCTTACAGCGGTGTTTTGTGCACTTCCATGAGAAATCTGTGCAGACAGGTATAATTTTCTTATTTAGTCGAATACAACATACCGGTCTAATATTTGTCTACTAGTAGTACTACAAGCTCAAGAAATCGGCTGATCTGATACAAAAAAGTCAAACAGGGTATTACAGCGAGTCTAAGAAATGCGTTATAATTTTAGCAAAATTCGGTGAAAGAACCTTATAAATACCAAGTTTTCAACACTAAAATATAAGCCGATAGGAAATAAAATATCCAAACATAATTGAAAGAATGTTAAATTTTCCTGCATCTGAACGAATAATTGGCATATACGATGAGGTGTTAATTAACTTCCCACAATTATAGTTTTGTACCCAACAATGAATGTCACATTTTGTTTGTAAATTCTCCTGCAAAAGCAGGAAATATCCACAATATAACTCCTGGACAAAGCGGAAAGATATAAATCAATACAACTCTGTAATCTTATAATGCACATTTTAAACATGAAACATAATACAGATTCGTATTATAGACTAAGAGTTTTAGACACAGTCGCAGTAGGTGCAAATTTGATTGCAGTAGGGAACACGCAAATAATAAGTTACACCAAGATATGATGAGCGTGACGCGAGCCCAATGTTGCCATGGCGACAATCTCTCATCATAAACTTTATACGACTTCGAGTTGATAAATCTTGCAATTCAATGATTGCTCAAATTCATCCTCTTAAGTTTTAATGGACATCTCAACCCCAAGACAGGCTTTGTCGGTCTTTCTCGTCGACAAGAACCCCCTGCTCGCTTCCAGGACCATTTCAAAGATCTTTAAAATGCTAAGTTTCTGCTCCAAAATCGCCCTTTTCCGCAATTCACCCCCTTACCTATACCCTCATACCGTGAAATAACTTTCACTAGAAATTGCATTACTCGACGGCTGACTATCCATCTCAAATATTACCATGATTCCCGCACCCCAATATCCAGATAAGCAGATACTACTCTGATTATTCCATACCCCCCTCTCCTCACACAAAATATGTAACAATATAAACGAGGACACGTACCAGTATGTCCTGCTGTGGTAAAGGCGGGAATATAGTGGACTCTTTGCGGAGGCCGGGGACTATTTTACTCATCGGACCCAAAACACTTTCCTTCCTGGTCCGCTTTGGCATTGTGTGGGCTCCGTCCTCCGACATCTTACTCTGAAATGGATCACGTGTTAGTGGACATATAACTCTGAAATGGATCACGTGTTAGTGGACAGATAACTCTAAAATGGGTCACGTGTTAGTGGACAGATAACTCTAAAATGGGTCACGTGTTAGTGGACAGATAACTCTAAAAATGGGTCACGTGTTAGTGGACATATAACTCTGAAATGGGTCACGTGTTAGTGGACAGATAACTCTGAAATGGATCACGTGTTAGTGGACAGATAACTCTGAAATGGGTCACGTGTTAGTGGACAGATAACTCTGAAATGGGTCACGTGTTAGTGGACAGATAACTCTGAAATGGGTCACGTGTTAGTGGACAGATAACTCTGAAATGGGTCACGTGTTAGTGGACAGATAACTCTGAAATGGATCACGTGTTAGTGGACAGATAATCTTGAGGATTGAGTAGATAACTGCCATTTACGCTGTCAACCTTTCACAATTTCTGGCATAAATTGCGAAATTATCAATGGTTCTATTTTATGAGCTATTCTACTCTAAGACTCCAATTTACTGCAATCGTTTAAAACTGTACAACATTTCACAGACAGGTAGTGTAAACCGCAATCAGCTGTCTGAACAGTGAACATCAATAGTCTGGTACAACTGACAGCCTCAATATCATCCGCGAAACCATTACTGAGCACAGGAAATATAATTGGAGAGTAGATCACTAGATGAGAGACGAGAGTAGATGACGATGAAGCTGACTATGAAGGCCGATTAAACCATCTAACGAGACATTAGATCCAAGCTAGATAGTAATCCCGTACTACTTACATACTTGTAGAGTCAACTGTACTGGTAAGTAGCTGTACAAGCCTGCCCTATAACAGGGCGAATATTTGGGGAGGATGATTTCTCAAGACTTACCAAAAGCTATTAATTGCAGGATAAAAACTTATGAAATCAACTTTTTCAAACAATATTACAAGAAATAATAAACGTTACATATAAACATAAAATGATAAAAGATCTAGTTAGACTTTATTAAAATATATGAAGGATCGAGTTAGACTAGTCTATAGCAAATGAAAAGACCCGCCCTCCATGAGATTAATTTTCATGAGGTTGTAACTTTTACACATTAAAACAATGAAACATTTTCTTTAACTAATGTAAATAATGTTAATATTGTTGCATTATTGATTAATGAAGAACAATAAAATAGCTTCAGTAATCGTTGATAGTATCCTTTATTAAAAAAGATAGTCTTGACGATTTGATCCACTTACCGTGTTCAATTTATAGCTAATTTTAACAGAACAATGTTTATTGCAGATCAAAAATAAAATTTTAGATCTAAAATTCGTCTGGGATCGCAAAGAATCTAGGAAATAAGAAGGTACCATCCCCAGGAGTTACAGTAACCTATTATTTTCTGGAATGAAATCTGGAACAAATCTCAATGCTTATTGGTCATGATTTGGTTCGCCATAAGACAGAAGCCAGATGCAAGATTCTAAATTAGAGACACAAATAAGACGCGGACAATGGACAAAAGTTCACATTTTAAATTTTTAATTGCTTTCAGTTTCCTGGAAATAAAGCAAGCAGGCTGATCCCTGGTTTCAAATGGCCGGTATAACCCTTTATATAATAACTTAAATATATGCAGTTTATATTTAGGTATCAACCTTTACCCTTAGGGATTTTATTTCGGCTACTTTTTATTCTAGAAAATATCTGAAAGATAATGAGCACATGGCGGTCGGAGTAACGGATTAGGTCAAAACTACGAAAATTTCAAGCAAACCAATTTTCAAAGATATTTTTTTATTGCAAGATATAAAATAAAATGATCGGATACCTCATCGACGGACACTGATTTGGCTGTTTTAGGTCTTGAGTCTTTTCCCAACGATATTCTTCCCGAAAAGGCGGGGTAGGTGAACTGGCGGTGATACATCCTCTTTCTCTTTCACTTTCACTTTCGGCAGATTATTCCACTTTCACTATGGTGTGTTTCACATAGCTAATCTCCTTGAAAGCTTGCCTGTTACTTAATTTCGTTGACTGCAGTCTACAACAAAGAATCTAAAACGAATAAAAAACTCCAAAGCAGTAACAGTGTTATAGTGTCAAACAATCACAAAACGTCAAACAGTCACAAACAGTTACAAAACGTTTCAAATAAGTCTTCTCGAAACATCCTGAACGATTCTTACATCATGTATTTTGGTTGAAAAGAATAATATGCATTATAAACTGCAATTGCCGCAATTATCATTTACAAGACAGGTGAATTTAGGTGGAGATAACCAATTTTCCCTGAAAAGCAAGCATAATGAAGCGCATCCAGCATCATCCGGTGTTTGTTCGGAGAAACAATCGATTTGATAATAAATAGTACCTAACTAACCATGACACTAAGTATTATAATATGTAAATAAGCAAATAAGCAAAAAATAATATTAAACACAAGTCACAAGATACAACCCATTGGGTAGGTTGTCCAAAGTATCTGTTAACAGACAAGTAAATAAATTGTCGGTTCTATTTATTTTGCAGTTATGTCCGAAAACTAAAATTCAAGTTGGTGCAGTGTCAATTGGTATATTGTAACAGCTGACTGGATGATATCACCCTACTATACAGCTCACAGTTAACATACTCAAAACACATCAATATGACAAAACCAGGCAATCTATTAGCTTATTAATGGCAAGGAGAACTAGAAGGTCCTGTTGTTTGGAGCTTCTAATCCACTAATTGCACTAATTATAAGGTAACTCCTTGACAGTACAGTTTCATGTGTCGTCTGTATTATGCAATAAAAAGCAGATACTTGGGTAAAAACATGCTAGTAGCACGGAATACCTGGTGCTAACTGATCAAATGTAAAGGGTGAAAGCTGTAAAAGATATCTGTAAAATATCGCTGCAGTTCCTTATACTCTCATAATAGTGCAGGTCGCTTATACAACTTAACATCAGCTTTTGTCAGAGATAACACCTACGTTAACTACACCTCGTTAACTTAACCAGCAAACCATGATGAGAATCCGCCACACAGCTTGAATAAACAGACAATATCGCAGCTGTAATCCGCCACACAGCTTGAATAAACAGACAATATCGCAGCTGTAACTTTGTAAAGACTGCTAAACTGATCAATGGACCGTTTGAGATTTAATCTTTCGTGTCTGTACAAGGGTAAACCTAGTGCAGTATCTTTGACTCCTTGAGTGATCTGCTAACAAAGCTAACAAAGCATTGATTAATTCTACAAAGCTATATTTTCAAATCGTGTATAAAGTAAATTTGTCGTATAATATGATCTATATTAGATTAACTATTAATGTGAGAGATCAGTTTAAGTTTCGAGTTGTCATATTAACGACGAGGTGGGGAAACTGTGCAGGCGGTGCTTTAACCTCGGAGTAACTTGTACCACCCACGTGCTTATTCCCTGACTACACGTGTTATGATGACATGTCACTTGGCATGACAGTTTGTCACGTGGCATGAAAGTTTGTCAAATAACAAGCTGGACGCGTATCATGTCAAACTTCTCCCAATTAGCTGAGGACTGGAAGGAGAGAGGGAGATATAGTGACGTCATGAGTATGACACGTGTGGGATATAGTTATAGTGACGTCATGTCACGTGTGAGATATTGTGACGTCATGTCACGTGTGAGATATTGTGACGTCATGGCACGTGTGAGATATTGTGACGTCATGGCACGTGTGAGATATTGTGACGTCATGGCACGTGTGGGATATAATAGTGACGTCATGACACGTGTGGGATATAATAGTGACGTCATGCCACGTGTGAGATATAATAGTGATGTCATAGCACGTGTGGGATATGTGAAGTAGACAGGACTGTCAAACCTTACATCTACCTCGGGTAATTGTGATTAACACGCATACAACCTCCCTAGCAGCTAGCTTCAGTCAGTAGCTCGAGTAAAAGCAATGTTATCACATACACACGGGGTGTGTTGTCAATATTGCAGCTCTCCGGAGAGCTAGTGATCCAATAACTGTCAGGAGGACCATGATAGCAACGCGAAATGGCAGAGAAATTGGCCGAATGTGGACTTGTCTAAGATAATATGTCTATACCGGTCCGGAATTAGACACACAACTTAATGGCAGAATAAAGCTCACATGGTAACGAGAGCAGGGGGGAGGGGATACTAATTTCCAATACTGCAATCTCTTCAACGGGCTTATAAGTACGTATGTCTTACGAAAGCATATTATAGCATATTAAATAGCATGTAGGTCGACAGCAAATGGAGGAGATAAAATAGTTTGCTAATGGTTTGGGTTTGTATATTTTAGGGGGTAGTAATTGGGAGTTGATATTGTTTCAACTTTTAGGTGTATATTTGATTATTTGAGGTAAAATTCTTGATTCCTCGTAATATCGTCGTTGATTAATAACTTGGCACTTTACCAAACTTTCAATCCTGTTTGTCGGACAGTATTTCCTCAGAAATTTGATGCCATTCGGTTGTCTTTTACGCAGTTGATTTCCAAGTTCAGAATACTAAATAGGTAATGCAATCTAAAATTGATGCAGGTTAAATCAAAAGTTCTGCAACCTCAAACATTCAAAAACCGCAGCAATATTATAAACCTTATCTGCTTTCGGATCACCAGCGATGGGAAACTGAAGACTGGTGATTATAGAAGCTGATGATAATATGGTATCCATGGTTACAGAGTCTGCAAGTGTTGACAGTTAATTCTGTCACCCAACCCAACACTGTAATGATTGTCGCTGATGATTTAGGTCGGGGTGATGTTCCCTGGCAGGACGCTTTGGCGATAGCTCTTTGGCAATCCAGTAAGATTAGAAGACAATAAACAAATCGGGGTGCGGTAAATTGAGGTTTTACTGTATTTGAAGCTTCTGAAGCAACCACATGATTCCGCCTCCAGAGAAGTTCATATTTGCGAGATCGCAAGATTAAAACTGAATTAGTATTTAAAATAAGACAACAAACCCAGTAGTCATGTTTCTAGACGCAGCTGTACATAGATAAACCTGGCTATGTTTCTCTACCTAGATAATCCACTTACGATTATACCATCTTTGTCTGATTGTCTAGTATCTGCACATTGTCTGGTATAATGTCTAGTTCTGCTATTTCTATTTAGACGCTCGAGCTATTGAAGTTCCAGGAGAATTCTGTCCGCCGCTTAGCCTTAAAGCGAAGTTATTGAACTTGCGGAACGCATTGTCAATATGGTATGTGATTTGTGAAAGGATTGTATACAATCCTTTCACAAATCACATACATAGCAAACATAATAGGGCTCCCATAATCATAGGACTCGATAATCTAACCCTCCTTTGGAAGCATAGAGATTGACGACATACTACTTTTTTAATTGCTAATGACAAACTAGATTAATTACGTGAATTATACTCTGATATTATTGAGTACAATTTTAGAGACTTTTTTAGTTCTAGCGGATTACTGATGGTACATGTTTATTTTGTAAGGTCGGTTCTTTTGCGATAGTCAAAACGCGACAACTAGCGCTGGATAGCGCTATAGTTGTCGCCATCCAGCGCTAGTTGTCGCGTTTTGACTATCGCAAAAGAACCGTAAGGTCATATGAATGGGTCCCAATCCCAATGGACCGTCTACAATATAAAGGCTTTATTTTCATTACAATAACCGCGGTGTCTTTATTAACTGCAAGCACTGAGAAGACTAGGACTCCAAGCTTAAACAAGCACTATGACTCACTACAGAAGTGTTAGGTACAAAAAATAAAAAACTCGTGTATCATCATACCTTTGAAAGTGTTCTCAGAACATTCATCATTCTCATCAAACAGCTCCGTCAGGGCCACGACAAGAACAGTTCAACAATATTTAAAATAAGAAAATAGCAGCGCAAGTTCAGGGTTGAGACGTTAGCCGGTATAGTGCTCAATTCTCAAGAAAACGCTTATTTCGGTAGAATACTATTCATAGCCGATTATTGGCGCCAGTTTTCTTTTAATTTGATTTATTCACTGCTCAAGCATGAAAATAAAGTAGAAATAGACAAGAAAACAATCAACGGTAACTTTCTGATGGCATTCAGTCTAAACTCTAATCCGCCACTTATTACTCCTAACATCACTATTATTGTACTACTATTTCTCATCAGACTCAGTGAGTCTACCAATTATCCTCGTAATCTGCATCGCTATCATTGTACTTCAATTTATCATCAGACTGTATAGAGCCAAGCTATCATCTTTGTTACTATTCTGGTACAGGACCACCAATTGAAAATGGCAATTGCCGATCGTACTTTACAACGATTTGAAACAACAAAGCTCGCAACGCTATTCAACCGTGATATTTTTCGCTTATTCCAAATCTGAGGTTTACCAATCTCAACTGCAATCGACCATTAATAAGTTATTTGATAGTATATTATTTAAGAAACATTTTTTATGGTCCAGCATCGCGCTTGAATTATATTACGACTCATTATCCCAATTTAATAAATTAAGAAATTATACCCAAGACCTATTATATGGGATACGACGAAGCACATATTATCGTATTTATCAAAGTAAAACTGAACAAAGGAGAGTTTTTATCGTACGTGATACGGTGGAAAATAATTTATGAGTATGTTCTGTCCAGTAACTTATCTAAAAACTGATAAACTAATGGATTATTTGCTTATCTTATCAGTTCTGAGCGAGTAACTGAATCAACGTGCCAGACTGTACCAAAAAACTCATTTTTATGGAGTAATGACCAGTGCAGGTCATGAACTTCAATGGTTTCAGATAAAACAAGCGTTAAGTTCAGTCGAAATCCTTTCAGGTTTTAACACATTTTGATACTGAAATACAACAAATTTACAACAAATTATGTAATCATAACATTATAGTCAACAAAACATATTTAATCACAGAATCAGAAAATATATTACTAAAGAGCCTGGACTTAAGTTAGTAAGTAAGTCAGGGTTATTTGTTATATTCAAAATCAACTTCTTCCGACAAAACAATACATAGTGGAGATCTACAGAGATCATTATGCTACTCAAACACACATAGTCCACAAAGCAGTTAAATACAGGAGAATTCTGGTCACTGGTCAGTAATTTAGTAGTATCGGCTATTGAAACCATTGTCACTCTCAAGTTCTAACAGTCATCAGTCAGCTGATCTGTACGCACGTGTGTTGCTTTGGTAACACAATGAGTGCTCCTCTAATACATGACAATAGCGCTTAAAATATGCGCATATTATAAAACTAAAGAGAACAAATCTTGCATTTCGTGCCACAGAACAGTGCAATCATTCGAGTGAAATCGTAGCGACAAATAAAACACAAAAATTAACAACAGCACGTTAATAAATTAAATACGAAATGTCCGTTATGTCTGTCATTTAAGTTAACATAACTAAGTTATTTCAATAATCTCTGTTATTTTACTACACCCATGGAGCAAAAGAAGAAGGTCTTTTAAATACAAAAATCAAACACGATTACTGGCGACGACAAGCCTAAAATGAACTTCAGTTCAACTCACAGAAATTTGGAAGATAAAGAGTTAGAAGTTTTGTCAGCAGCTTGACGAAATGAAGCAATTATCGAAGACGATTACTTGTTGTCGTCCGTCGTCGTGCCATGAGCATATAGATCCCGATACAAAGATCAGCAATCAAGTTAAAACAGTAATATTAGGAGGAGTAAACTAGACACCAACACCTTCAACAGGACCATCTTCCTTAACAGGTGTGATAAGATCATATCTCACGTAAAATTCTTAATTCGTCTGTTTTTGTACTTCTACCTACTTGACTGATACTACTTCAATTGAGATCACAGTGTGGTGCGGAATCCGAAAATAAATGTGACTTTTTAGGGATGATGATTAATCGCTCTACACTATCACGTGACTTACTTAAACACGTTCTCTAGATGGCCCTAGGAGACTATACAAATCCTCACTCTTCTACTCTGGTCCCAACCGGCAACCCTAACCTTAACCCAATCCCTAACTCAAGCATGTGCTAAAACCGTAACCTTAACGAGAAATTAGACTAACTTCTTCATTTCACGTTATCGAAACAGAAGAACATTTCAACCCTAGGTTCATTTGGAGTCAGCATTCGAAATACATTGATTTAAGTTGGTGAAAAATCTTTTAGAAAAATCTCTAAGTACGAGTGAAGAGTGATTAAGCACGGTCAACGTTTGAGGATTGCGCAATCCGACAATAATTCCTCCATTTGAGGGTGACACAGGTTGGCACACAACAGGCAGCCTTTTCCACAACAAGAAGAGGGCATGAGAAGCAGGACAAGTGAGAGACAGGCAGGGAAACACTACAACACGGCTGTTTTATTACCCGCCTCTCTTCAAAACCCAAACATTTACGATATATTAGCACAGCACGCTCACAGCTCTTGAAACTATTCAGCCGAGAGCCAGTTGACTCCGCGCTCGTTTACTTTATTCCCATTTTATTGTGGACTGTCACTTAATTTCCGCGAATCTAGGCCGCTCGTTAGCGAGTTAACGGTAGTCGCGTATAAGTGTGTCGTTACAATATTGGCACACTCTGCACGGGCATTAGGGGAGATTACTATATATACCCGTGACGGCAACCAGCAAAAAGATAACCTTACAAAGTCTAACATGATAAACACAGACAGATTTGTATATTATTTTGTAGAGTCAGTTTCAAGAATTCGTCTAAAATTTGGTGAAAATTCAGCACATAATCAGTGTTACTAATCCTGTGTGTTCATTTTTACCGGTGTCTGGCGAAGAAAATGTCCTCGCAGAAACCTTAGCAAAGAAAAAGCTATCACTGCTGCCAACAGTTAAGCAACGTTTCAACTGCAAGTCAACTTTTTACACCGTTGGGTTCCTTTTATAGGAATAAACAAATTATAAACAAATTATAAACTTACCCCTCGTCTCGATGTTAATTTCTTAAACGGTGTACTGCCTCGCCGTTCCCCAAGGAGTAGCTCCTGAAAGTTTGGGTGAAATATAGTGAAATACATTGCCTGAGTGTCATAAGAAAGTAAGAACAAGACAATTAACAGAGCATGATAATAAACAAAACTTCACTCGTCGCTGATCAGCTCAGACGTGATCTGCGCAGGACGTAAACCACCGTACACTGTACGCAGGCATACGTTTAAACATTAATGTCAATTCAGTAAAAACCCGATTTTTGGGAGCCCCTCAAAATATTCCTGTCGAAGAAACTTGAGAGTTGAGACCCACCTTAGATCCCTGTTTTAGGTACTTCTTACTGCCTCTTCTACCACCGAGTTTGTCTTGTCCCGGTGCGGTTTCCTCTACTATGCTGTTCCCTTTAGAATCAGTTCTCTTGACTTTACCCTTCTTTACTTCTTCTCTGAAACATTTTTAACTATTTACAACATTATAAATCTATTAAAGTTATTGAGTATTATGTAATGAGATGGAAATGCTTTTACCAGAAGGAGCCAGTCCACACCCTGGCTGATCCATAATATTAATATGAAGGAGTTGTTTTAATATAATTCTAAATGAAAAGCTCGAATAGAGCTTTCGTCACATCACTGAATTTAATAATAAATATGTGTAATCTATAACTGTTGAAGTCATCATGTGGCAAGGTCAGCAAAAATATGCCCTCTAATTTTTATTTCGTGTTTGTATCACAAATATACGCACTTCCTGACACTTCTGACTTCAAATAGTTTGTTGTAAGAGCAAAAATGTAATTTTTCATTGGGACTCTCAACACTTCTGTACAACAAATAACTTGACTGTATGTTACAAGTTATTGGCACGTCAACATCTTTTTAATTCCTCATCTTAAGATGTTCCTTTTTCTTTGTCGGTAATCAAAATCAACGTGGAATTCAAATTTCTAAAGAATAACCATTAGAATATGCGAGTATAACAAATATTCTGCGGAAACTACCGAAGGAACTATGCAATAATCTATAATAAACCAAAATATCAGACCTCTCCCGTTCCATAGCTCCTGTGCACACAGAGTTAGATCTTCTAGAATATCTAGATGTGTGGCGAACTCGAATCTGCTTTTTCAAACCTCCAGCCCCTTCAGAACTCACAACACACTTGACAACAGGAGCGGGTTCAAGCTCCACTGTTTTCACGATTAAACTCGCCTTCCTGTTCAGTCCCACCCTCCCCGGACTCGCTGATCGTCGTCCAGGACTGGAAGATCTTGACACGCTACTAGTGATGGAGACGTTGTCGGGAAGTTTCTTATCGTCAGCTGCTACCACAGTGATGCTTACAGAGCAGGGGACTGTAGTGGTCTCTTCAGACGTTGGGGACACTGGAGACTTTGGGGACACTTGGGACTTTGGGGACACTTGGGACTTTGGGGACACTTGGGATAATGGGGACATTGGGAACACTTTGGGAGACCGTGGGGATGTTACAGACTTCGGGGATAAGTGAGAGTTTGTGGTCACAAACGACTGTGTGGAAACTTGTGACATTGGAGACATTGGAAGTATTTGGGACGGTGAAGACACTTGGGACATTGGAGACATTTCCTGGACGGTAGAGAGGGGGGAGAAGCAAAAATCATCATCCAGCTGGAGAGTTTCAGGCTCTGTAGTAGTCGTGGATTGTGTGTCCCGTCGAGTTATGTGCTCCGATGATGCATCTCCTATTTCGGGATCATGGTTGTTTCCAGAGGTATCGATGGGTAGTTTGGGATGGAGAGAGTTGCTATCTTTTTTATTTTTCTTCAGGAAAAATCGCATGACGATTACATGAGTCAAAAAATGTTCCTCAAAATAAGCAAAGAGAAAAAGTTAAGCTAGACGAGAAGTTGGTCTAATTTCTCAAACAAAACTAAAGCTTTGAGACTAACCAACCCTGCAGTAACATCTTAAAAAGGCCGTCTTGTGTGAAGTAACGTGGAAGTGTGTTTATTTAATTAAACGTGTGGGCCCGTTTGGCTCACTGAAATTAGTCTAGTAATTATAAAAGTTTTTCTGCCAATGCCAATGCTGAGAATTGTTTTAATTCAATCATGGGCTGCATTAAAAATTGTATTATATAAAATTGTTGGTGCAAACATTAGCTAGTAGTAGTAGCATTATATTTATATGCCATCGTGGAGTAGGTGGTCTCCTGCACCTTTTCCGCCTCGACATGGTGAAAAAAACATAGGCATGCAACCTGCAGTCCAAAGGTGATCGTAGCCCTGACGGAAGACTATAAGAAGACTATAATCTTCAGTTTCCAATAGTTAATGGTACAGAACGATAACTTGTAAACCCCATCAACATTATGAATCGGTGCATTATTACTGAGCTTGGTGTCACTTGGCCATGGGTAAAGCTGGGATTGGCCGTAAAATTTGATAGAAATAAATGTCCTTCGTAACATTCATTCCTCTAATTGTAAATACGATAAAGGAGTAATTTGTGAATCATTATGAAACGTGGTGAGAAGATTAAGTGTATAAACCATTAAATATTAGGTAAATTAAGTGTATAAACATTAGATTAAGTGTATAAACATTAGGTAAATATTTCAGCAAAAAGAATGTTCACTCATTGGCCGACGAAACGTTAATTCTTTTAATAAAATCCCAAAACCTAGTGTAAGATCCGTTGGATTCCGCCTCTGCTTCGAGAATCCCATCCTCTAAAATAACATCCATCTCTGGTTGGTAGTTTGTGCTTTTGTTTAAAAAATCAATTAAGATAAACCATAACAAGTTCAGGCAAACATTATATCTGACCACAACCAGGGACAAAAGGATTTCGCGATCATTTTGGCCAAAAATCGCGATACCGCGAAATTTAACAGGCTATACATTAAACTACACATAAAATTTGTCGCAAATAATGGGAAAAATCGCGATTCCGTACATGCCGCGATTTCCTTTTGTCCCTGACCACAACCGAAAATGTAATGAAGATGAAAGTCACCGATCTAGGGAGAGATGGGCTCCCCGTTGCTGCGCAGGAGAAATTCATTAACGGTAATTGCAATTAACGCATTGTCACTGTAATGAATATGCGGCATTCGATGACTAATCTTGGGATCCGTATTATAAGTGCAGAGTAGACGAAAGTTACGAGATAAAGCTGACGAGAGCAGGAGAATGACGATCCATGCTCAGAAGATGATTTCTCATGGCGTTTTATTGTAAAACCCATTCAAAAAAATTAAACAAGGGTGTTTAAACGAGCATGTGTTTAGTAAAATGTACTTTTATAAACATTTTTTATATAATTTATAAACGAAAATTTATAACTGAATGCTATGGAATACTAAAAAGTACTACTACTATAATATTAATACAATTTAAAACTATATATACTACAAGAAATACATAATAATAATATTTCGACCTGGATATTACATAATAGTACGATTAATAAATCGCTTTCCAACATGGCCAGATCAAAGAAAAAACAATTCCGCAGTTTAATTTAACTCGAACTCTTATCAGCATTGCGCCGATTGTTTAATTTATCGACAACTGCAGAAGAGTAGACGCTACAAGCACGATTTCCGGGAAACCGTGGTCAACTCTGCAAATTTCAAGGCTAAATACTAATTGCAGGGTAAAGTGGGATGTGGGACTCTTTAGCAGCGCAATCATCATCATGTCTACCATTTGTTAATTTAGAAAATGCCTTCCAACGATGATCGTCATGGAAAAATCACATAATTGGCACAATTACCAAAATTTCATCTCATTCCAAAGAATTCATAAAAATGTCGTTTACAACATATAATTAGTTAATCACGCATAAAATTGCATAACAAGTTACCTGCAGCTGAGAACGGCAGGTTCTGATTTGAAGCGGCTTCTGGAGCAGCCGGGGTTGGTATCACAGCGACTTGAGGTGGCGAAGGGGCTCTCGAGGACTGGTGTGAGGGGGTGGGGTCTCGTGGAACCCTACGGTATACATATAACGGTTACAATAGATTTTTATTGAGTGTAAAATAATGTCATGAGATAATGTTAAACAACAATATTCATGGTTACAATTTACTTTCAAAAGGTTATAATGCACACAAAACAAAATAATAAAATATGTAATGTATATAACGTAGATTAATGTAATAATGATAAACAATAATATTGGTTACCATTCACTTTCAAACGGTTTTATAATGCACTCAAAAATACCAAAACATGCAAAAGTTTAATCAAAGCCGTGATAATCAATAATCATGGACGTGCAAATTTTCACAAACTGGCTGAGTTCTTAATTTAATGTATTTATCAGGCCCCAGGTTGAGTTGCAGTTGCACAGTATGTATTATAAACTTTAAAGAAAGGTCAGCATTTCCTGACCCAAGGAGCTCCTCCTGCTTCTCGGGAATATCAATTATTTGTTATTTTTCCATTTAAACGTGTCGCAGCGAAATATCATAATTTTATTATTCCAGAATAAGAAAATTGATTAAAGCCCCACTAAATTACTCAAAAACAGAATAGAAGGGCGGCGATCAAAGATCAAAACCAAGCTTGTCTCTAAACGCGGTCTCCCTCGCTGTTGGGATCACAGTAGAACTAGCTGCCAATACTGTAATACTAACTTACTAATAGTCCAGCAAGTCGACTTATGACGAAACAGGCACGATTCAAAAAAGCAGTGCACGCGTTATAATTGATAAACAAACTTTAATCTTTTAATAATATAAATGGAAATATCCCATAACATAATTGACTTGTAATCCCCGACCGTTGCTGGGAAGTGCCAGGCGGTATAAGTAGATGCTAGACAGTAAGTAGATTTATTGTCGCTAAGTCGGGAATAATGATCTGCAATTATAAACATAATTCGAACTGCTCACTCAGCAACTGAAGAGCTTAACCCCTGGTATAAGCTTATTGTAGCCACTGAACGAATAGAGAGATATGGATTATGGGGTCACGATCTATAAGTCACATACTGGGCTACGTTGTAACTGTAAGTTAAAATATCACAGGGCTATACAGTCTAGTTACTGTCAGCTATAGTGGCTATTCGACATGGTTTTAATATTGCTGTACTCTGTTCAATGCATAAACCATGATTTACATCTTCACATCATGCATATTGATATTGCATATACAGCAAGACTAGTCTAGTCGATCAAGTTGAATCATATACTCGGACAGTCTAGTCAAGGATCTTATAGATAAAAGAGATAATATAGAAGAGAACAATACAGAAGAGAACAATACAGAAGAGAACAATCTAGCTGATATCCTAGCCTTCTTATATGCATTATGCATGATACCTCGGAAATGAACAAAACTAAACGACAGGTCGAGTGAAAGAATAACAAAACCAGTGTACGCGTTTAACATTAACAGAGCCCGTATACTAGCTAAAAGAAGACATCCGTTTCAATGGAAATAAGCTGCTCCAAATCAAAGTTGTAAACAAGACAATGAAACAATAAACATCCGATACACATGTCCGTTATCTCATACTCCTTATCATGGTACTCCTGATAAAGTCATAAGGATCATGTGAGGAATACTGCGCGCTGATTGGCTGCCGCGCGTGACCCTTATCACGCGCGTGACCCTTATCACGCTCTTCCTGCCACGTGATACGCTAATCGCTGTACCATTGGTCTGAGACCTGTGCACGTGGGCACCATCTTGCTCCATTCAGCATCCGTTACTCACGCTCAGTATCTTCCTCCATACACGAGAGCAATGAGAGAGCGGCATTATAATTTGTTTCTGTTTTTCAGGTTAACTATGAGATTAGAACTTGCAATTAACATCGTATTTTGCTGCTTTTGAGCGAATCGTTGAATTGCCAATGAATGTTGAATTTAAATTGTGTCTGCATTCCTTTCTATCCAAAAAAGGTTTACATGTCACATCCATTCAAGTAATCAGGTCTTTTCAACAAGTGTTCTCAACTGTTCAACTCATACGATTCAACAAACAGGAGTGTGTTGAAAATGGATTGATTCGGATTTTTGGTGCTCCATGAAAAGTGATGGCAGATTTGCAAAGCGGCTAAATTCTTAACTTGTTCAGAAACTCACATCAGTCTCAGCTAGCAAATTCATAAAAGTTTCTGTTGCACAACAATCAGGGAAATTCTTTATTAAAATTATCATCTCAGGAATCAGAGCGTCAAACTAAAAACAATCATCGAAAATAAGATTATAAACCCGGTTATATAAAATACAAAATTAAGCGAAACTTCCCTAGCACTAAGCACCCGTACGAACATTAACCCAAAATTATTACATGACAATACATTCCACAGTGTAGCTGCTTTTAACCAGCAATTAACCAAATGATATGAAACTAAATTTGTCGCCAGATTACGGTGACATAATATCAATGTTTTATTGCTATCCTATTCTCGTTACAAATAATATTAATATTTTGGCGCTGCACTATTATCGTTACACGCTGATGTTATGGCAATTTCAGAAATATATCTACTAAATGACATAAGCTATAACTATCTAAAACTTGATGAGACTTTATAACATCATCTTTTTACTTATCTAATCATTATTGAGCTAAACTTTCTCAATTAGGTCGGTAAAATATTCAGATCAATATAACTAACTTATTAAAACCTGATCAAGAATATGAGCTTGAGTTAACAAACGAAATATGTCGATATCATACTTCCATCATACATAGTTCGTAGTGACCGTTCTGCCTTCTTACAGCAGTTGCGGCTAAACCGGCAAACAAATACGCAATCATTATGAATATATTCTTACCCTAAACCGATCACTCACGACTGACGGTATAGTAAACTGTTGCTCGGGTTGTTAACGGCCGGTTAATAGCCTAGGTCACCACGTATAACTGCTATGCTTTGTCCGTAATACACGTATAATGCCCGTACATACTGGACACAAAGCTACAGAGGTAGAAATAAAACCAGTAATAATTATCTTAAACTGGACGAGTGCATGCTTTTAAGTTATTATTTTACCCGAAAGTTACTGTGATGAGAAAGTTAAATTAACTGCTTGACGCTTACATAATGCACATACTACATATTACATATTACTATATATTACTACATATTACCACATATATAAACAAAGTATTCCAACAAAAAATCCCATAACCATTGGACAGGGCGCAGTTTTGTTGTATGAGGGCATTTGGTACATAGCCAAAACTGAACAGGGCATGAAATGACACTACTGTCAATACAAAGGTTGACAGGCCACTTTCTAGCATATAATAGTTAACACACAAGGAATTAATCAACAATCCTGTCCATGGCTGATGAAATTATAATAGGTTATAATAGTTGTGACAACTCACATGTGAATTATTTGTATTTGCTTTGCGAGAGGAAACAATACCAACCTGCTATTAACCAGCTAATAGCCGGCTGTTATTTTGGTGTTCTTCTTTTGGTCTTTTTACAAATAAAACAAAGTACACACAACAACTCGGATATGAACAAATGTCAAAGTTGCAGGCTATTAACCGGCTATTAGCCGGCTGTTACGGTGACATAATAGCCGGTCGGCATTGTACCTATTTGCTGAGGAAAGTCATGCCTGTACTGCAAACAATCAATGATAAAGTCTCTAGCAAAGTACACATAGATTAACCAGTAGCACTTCTGCTATATAGTACTGTTTTAATAGTGCCATGCAGTGCTGTCATAATCCAATTCTAATGTTTTGAAAACTGATATAATGCTATAAGCATATGTATAT